AAATTACTTTTGTTACAAACTCCAGGTATACATACAACATAAGAACATATATATTAACATATATATTAACATATATATTAAGAACATATATATGAATATATATATAACACACCTGTATACTCTCTCTCTCTCTCTCTCTCTCTCAGATTGCCTGGAGCCAAGAACAAGACAAAAAGTGGCTGCAATGTTGGTGAGATAAAAATAGTGCTATATAGCAGAGACAGGCTGCCTCTGCTAAATTATGGATGTCCACAGCTAATGTGGGAAGAAACAAATACAAAATTAAGAGCTTACCTTCCATAATGGAAAGAGAGCTGAGATGCTATTTCACACAGCAAAGGGAAAATATTCAGTGGGTAAGACAATAACCATAACCCCTCCAACTTTTGGGCAACTTTTGGAGGATCTACTGTCAGAAATGGAATATAATATTCATAGGTATGTTTTCATTAGTTTATAATCACACTTAAAAGTAAGAAATGCGTTTTTGTTAACTCAGAATGAGCCGTTTTTATCTACAGTGGGCTGCCTTTCAGGGAGTCCACCATGTTGAACCGCCATATTTCTACAGTAGCCCAGAACTGTCAAACTCTAGATAGGAACTTTTTCGCTAGTAGTTTCTCCTACACACTACATATCCTGTTCTCATTACCCAGGTTGTCAAATACAGACCCCAGGGGTGTTCAGTTAGAAGTGTAGATGTCACTAAATCCTACACACTGGTCATTTAAAACAGAGCGATAACTCCTCTACTGACTGGGATACTGATTATCTTCCCTTGTTTTATTTTAGTATTATTAAGAAGCCTTGAGAGGTATTTCAGTGTCCCACTAAACCATGATGCCAGCGAGCCTAAATGGAATGCAGTTGTTTTTTATTCTATCAATTGCACTTGCCCTGCTGTTACAAGCCAAAATGTGTGATGTGAAATCCATGTGATGATCCAAACAGGCACAATCAGCAGATGTGTGAGGAATAAACTCACATTGACTTCAAACTGAAGTTACTTTTAAGTCAGATATCGACCAGTTGGACTTATTTTAACTCAGGTTGCTCCGTTTTTATGCAATGTGTTACGCAGGATGGTCTAGTTAAGGTGGGATGGATTGACTGCCCCTCGCAGGAACAGCTCTGTGACAGCTTCCAGGTAAGCAGGGTGTCTGTGTAAACAAAGTTAATGTTACTTGTATAAAGTTCAATCTGCATTCTTTAGTTTTTTCAAAATGTCATTGTTCTTGCTGTAACAACTACAAAATCAGACCCACATGGAACCAATATTGATTTTCCCTCATTTCTTTTGCCAGTATTGGTGTGAAATTGTTGTTTAATTGCATTCAAATACTTAAACTGAACCAGTTGAAACCTGCAAAAATCCTGGTAAGGCATGGCATTAGCGTAATACATACAATACTACTGTAAGATACCTCCATGGTGTTGTTCATGGAAAAAACTTCAAAATATCTGCCTCTGCTGCTTTGCAGATGAGTGTCCTCAGGTGCTCTGAACTGTTTTTAGATTTATTTTCATTTTTTTTTAAAAGCCCAGCAGTAACAGGAGATAGCAACAGAAGTAGCAGTTTTAGTAGTAGGGGTGTATTACTTGTTGCAGTAGTAGTATTGGTCTCTAATCCTGCTGTATTTCAGGTGACCAGTGGAGCAACTGCTTTGTTCCCACCTGGAAGTTCTCTGGATCAACAAGGCAGTGTACTGGTAAGGAACAGAACACATTACTGGCTCTATTACGGCAGTGTATTGCTGTCTGTAGTAATACTATGTGTAGTACTGCAGCACTGACTCAATGTGCATGTATGCTGCAGTGGCTGAATACTCTGGACAGTAAAGAGATTTACAATCAGGTCATCAACCATCTGCCTGATCTGGAACTGCTGACCAGTGACAGCTTCAAGGTACACATGCTCAAATATACCCCATAGCTTCCAGGTACAAAATTTGTATCCTGTTAATGACATCTAACTTGTTGTCCCCAGAGGAAGCTGGCCCGTCATCGCTGGTTGGTGAGTTTTACGTTTGGAGACAGAAGCCCCACCTCCACTGAGTACAAGAAGCTACAAGCTTTCCTCCGACAGGACCACATTCAGGTACTTTTCTGTCTGTCTCTGTCTGTGTGCCTGCTTGCCATGCCATGCCTGTCTGTATGTCCAACTGACTGTCTGTCTCTCCAGGTTGGCAGAGTGGACTGTATAGAAGACTCAGAGTTGTGTCAGTCTCTCTATATCCATAAACCATGTGTAGCTGTCTTCAAAGGACTGGGAATCCACGACTTTGAGATCCACCACAGTGAGTACCACATACTGCACTGTGTTCTACTGTGTCTCTATACACGGCACTGTGGGTCCACCACTTTGGAGTGAAATGTCTCAACAACTATCGGATGGGTTGAAATTAAATTTGGCAGACATTCGCCATTCGACATTTCACAATTTATTCAGTTCAATTCCCATCTAATTTGACTTTATATATAATCCACGCGCTCAGATAATACAATTTTATACCATTAGTGTAGTTACTCTTTAAATGTGTTGACATGTCAGATCAAGCAGATCTGCATTAATAATAATAATGTTTTTTTCAGTTTGTGGTCAGCCGGCTTATTTGTTCAGTGAGAAATAGCTCTTATGTTGAGATCTATATATGTGTATGTCGGTTTGCTGCAACTAACAATAATTTTCATTATTTATTAATGTGTTGATTATTTTCTCAATTTATCAACCAATTATACATACCATAAAACTTGCAATAAAAGCAGAGTCCCTAATAGACGCAGGTCTCTTTCAAAAGCCTGTTGTGGCTACACGTTTTGACAAATAAACGCAGGTCTCCAATAAAGGCCTGGCTCTCGCGATTTTATAGCGAAATGATCTGGAACTGTATAAAACATCTTAAAACCACCCTGCGCCCTAGAGCGAGTTTTAAGCCATTTCGATCGCCTGCACAAATATTAACATTTAAACTTTTCTCAAAATGGATGCTGCACATCGTTAGATCAGTTCTCCACGGTTCAACCCGTCACTTTATTTAATGGAAACTATGAACACCAAAGTATAAGGTTAATACATTCAGACTTACCGGCATGGTAAACAAGTAAAACGGAAAAAAACGATCGTAAAGTCGGTGCGTTCCATGTGTGTTCCTCCATTATTTATATTCCTTTAATCCGTAAGGGTCCACTGATCAAAAGAATCAAAGGATTTCATTAAAATTAATCAGAGTTGTGAATATTATCAGGGGAAGTCGGTTGCTTACTGATTGTACACCGCCTGCCGTAAATCTTCAGTTCACGCTCAAGTGTCATGGCGGTGGCATAGAGAAAAAAAATACCACCTGAAATTTACTGTAAGTTGTCAAATTTACTTAACAGAACTCAAGAGAAGCAGTACAATTAGAGAGGTTTTCCATCTGAGATTTGTGCTAAGGAAATTAAACGCTTGTCCCCAAAAAAGGCAGGGGGAGTTCAGTGATTTAAGCAAAAAAACGCCTGGGCTATTACTAGAAGTTTTACGGTACATATACATATATATAAAACACTCCAGAAAAATGTTGTAGAGTATTCAGTTTCCTAAAGCCCAGGGCGAGGTCTTCAAATATCTTGTCTAAAACCCAAAGATATTCAGTATACTGTCATATAAGAGTAAGAAAAATGGCAAATATTCATATTTGAGAAGCTAGGATCAGGAAATTTATTTAACAACTAATAAATAACATTTTTTTCCTGTTCTGTCTGTAGGTAAAGATGTGTTGTACAACATTGTGGGTTTTGCAAGGGACAGCGTCCGTGCTCATGTGACGACTCTGAGACCTGACAACTTTCCCTCAGACAGAAAGGAGCCCTGGCTGGTTGACTTCTTTGCTCCGGTTTGTAACTTTAATGATAAGATTGATCGAAACACACAGTTGTGTTGATTTGTTTTACCTGCTCAGGTTGCTACTTGTTACTACTAATTTTAAATAACGATACTATGACAACAAGCCTTTCAGCAGTATTTCTATCAAGCACAAAACTGAGCCTCTGTGTCTCAAACCATGCACTTCCAACCAAAGAAAGTGGACTAGGTACACTAAATACATATCAGATCATCTTCAGCCATATTTCCACCAAAAACATTCTGTATAGTACCCTTGAAACCCGTACCTAAACACTAGATTAGTTTTCCATTTACACTGCAGACAGTACTGTCTTACAAAAGGCTAACCGCAGTAACTCCGCAAACAAGGTCTTGCTCATGGTGGTGTTGGGTCTCTGTAAATAATGTTATAAGGAGTACAGTCT